ATGATAATACATTTAAAGGTAATCATAATGGAATGAGACTCCATTTTATAACCGTATTGTAAAGATTATAAGTATTTCCTCCTATCTGTTTATTTATTTAAAAGGTGATAAGGGCGACAAAGGAGATAAAGGTGACAAAGGAGATAAAGGTGATAAGGGTGATATTGGACCACTAGGACCAGCAGGTCCTAAAAGTGGAGGAGCAGTGTACACTCGTTGGGGAAGGAAGTCCTGTCCTACTGGAGTGGAACTGGTATATGAGGGAGTAGCTGCAGGTGGTCATTACGATCATATGGGAGGAGGAGCCAACCATGTCTGTTTGCCTGCAAAAGATCCTCAAAATATGAAGAAACCTATACCTCCTAATTATTCTTTAATGTATGGTACTGAATATGAAGATGTCAATGGTATATTTCCAGGGAAGCATGATCACAATGTTCCTTGTGCAGTATGTTATGCACCAACCAGGAGCACTAAACTGATGATTCCCTTTAGAACCAGCTGTCCTTCGTCATGGACTATGGAATATAAAGAATATCTGATGAGCAGTCTGTCCAGTCACAAGGGTCATAATAAAAATAGCTTACATGAGTGCGTTGATGACAATCCTGAATCCATTGATGGAAGTGGTGCTAATAATGATGGTGCTCGGTTCTACTTTATCCTCTCAACATGTACTGGTATTCCTTGTCCACCTTATGCTGCCAATGAAGTTGTTTCTTGTGTTGTGTGTACTAGGTAATTTTTTGCTTTAGTTTAGCTATTTTTGAATCTTTAATTTTTCAAAAAATGGTTGTTTAAACTGCAATGAACATAATCACAAATGCATGCACCTGCAGTGTACTATAGATTGCATTTTGCAGCCTGCATCATCTCCTAAATCGATGATGATTACTGGCTTCATTGTATGATGTAGTCATATCTACTCCAGCACCACCCATTCACACACAGTCTATCTTTTAAATTATTCATATGATAGCATCAGTAATAATGACAGGTTGAAATAAAAGTATCCACTCCATTTCACAGCCTGCGGTAAGATTATATTTTATTGAACTCTTAATTGGGGCGAGCCTGAGCTCGCTAGGCCTTGTGAAATTATGCTTTTAATTTTGCCTATTATTCTATTCTCAGATTCTTCTATGTATTGCCCATTATTCTTTTCAAACATGCCTATTATTCTACTATTATTCATTAATATAAAGTAATTAATATACCAAAAATATTTCAATCATGATTAATTGTCATTATATTGTAACATTATGGAAAGTTGAATGTAATCTTCAAGTGCAGAGAACTCCTGTGGCGAGAAAGAGTTGTTTAATATTGAAAACACACGCTCAGCTGCAGTATAATTAATTATTTATCATGATTAATTAATTTCAATCATGATTAATTGTGATGGCATAATTAATTATACTAATAATTATAGTCTATAGTTTTATAGTCTATGACTATACTTTATCAATTTATAATTTTTTAAAAAGTTCTCATAAATACTGCCTATTATTCTGGAATTATTCTTGATTCTATGAATTCCCTATTATTCTCAAAATTATGCTAGCATAATTTCACAGGGCCTAGAGCTCGCCCCACTCTAGCTAGACTCTCAGTCACGCCCCGTCTGTCTGTCTGTATGTCCTCGTACGTCACCCCTATTTATGCGTAGATCTAATACGGTAGATAGATAGATCTACTATGGATTACCAATGCAATATAAAGTCATTTTTCAATTTTTCATTGAAAGTGGGAGCGGTCACAGTATAATAAAAATGGCAACCAACACACTGGAAGAATTCATGAGCTTTCTAGCAGCAATATAAGGCAGATACACCGTCCAAAGACTTCTCCAGCAGCTATAGAAGGTTTTAAATTCAATTAATAACCTATGAAGCTCGTCTTTATTGATGCAATTGCTATTAAAACTGAAAGTCAATCAAGCTTTTTCTCACTGAGTCATCTTAACATTGGATAATGTTATATCTAAAGCTAAGTGAAGCATCTTTACAGACATTTTTAGGCAAGAAATGTGTATGTTAAACTAGAAGACTAAAAGTTAAATAAAATAAATGATCTAAAGTGATTTTATCATCTTTAGCTTTCATCATGTACATGCATGCTTGCTGCATAGCAAGCATGCATGCTAAATCATGATGCATGCTTTGAAATCATCAGGAGTAGATCATAGATGGATAGATCCAGTGCTATGATTGCTTTGCTAGCTTAGGCTCGCCCCTTAATGTTCTACATTACTTCTAGTTAAAAAGTAATTTGATCAGTACAGTAGCCTTCTTTCCACCCCCAATGATTCCAACATCCACCCTCTTTTCTGGAGATCAGCAATGAACCTACTGGAGTCCCTATTTATTCTAACTATACTCTCCATTTTTGTATTATCTACTACAAGCAAGGATGAAAATACATTTAAAGGTATATAGGCTGGCTTATTATTATTGCATGGTTTGTAGGATTGATAGGAGATCAGGGAGAGAAATGGTATAAGGGAGACAAAGGAGATAAATGTGACATTGGACCAGTAGGACCAGCAGGTCCTAAAAGTGGAGGAGCAGTGTACACTCGTTGGGGAAGGAAGTCCTGTCCTGCTGGAGCTGAACTGGTTTATGAGGGACTAGCTGCAGGTGGTCATTACACTCATATGGGAGGAGGAGCTGACCATGTCTGTTTGCCTGCAAAAGAGCCTCAAAATATGAAAAAACCTGTACCTCCTCGTTATTCTTTGATATATGGTACAGAATATGAAAATGTCAATGATATATTTCCAGGGAAGAATAATCATAATGTTCCTTGTGCAGTTTGTTATGCACCAAACAGAAGCACTAAACTGATGATTCCCTCTAGAACCAGCTGTCCTTCATTATGGACTATGGAATATAAAGGATATCTGATGACCAGTCTGTCCAGTCACGACAATCATAATAAAAATAGCTTACATGAGTGCGTTGATGACAATCCTGAATCCATTGATGGAAGTGATGCTAATACTGATGGTGCTTTGTTTTATTTTATTCTCTTAAGATGTATTGGTACTGGTATTCCTTGTCCACCTTATGCTGAAAATGAATTTGTTACTTGTGTTGTGTGTACTAGGTAATTTTTTACTTTTGTGTAGCTATTTTTGAATCTTTAGCATTTCAAAAAAGTTTTGCAAACTCCAGTGAACTAATCACAAATGAATGCACCTGCATTGTACCATAGAGTTGCATTTTGCAGCCTGCATCATCTCCTAAATCAGTCAATGATCATTACTGATTTAGATCCATACAATGCTTCACTGATTTATGCATGTAGTCATATCTGCTGACTCTGCTCCAGCTCCACCCATTCACACAAGCAGTTTGTAATAAAATGGCTGATTCTTCAATGGTCTACACTCTTACTCCAGAGCTATCCTTTTCACCATCTACAGCAAGAGCAAAGTAGCTATAATAATAATAGCAATAACTTGTTGTAGATAGACCCATTGTCTTCCTTACTGTATGTACATAAAACTATTCTCTCTTCCTTTTCTTTTCTTTCAAAGAACCACTTATAAAATTGGTTCAAAGTTAGTGAATACTGAAACGAGACACACAGAGTACAAAGTTGAAATTTTGCTTTGAATAACTTAGAGCAGGTTAATCCAATGGTACTGAGTACTGTATGTATAGTAGCTTTATTTCGTGGATGTAAAATATTAAGACTATTATTTGTTCAGATTTAATAACAACATGAAGACATTTTCCTTTCTTTTTCTCTCTCTCCTTCCTTCTCTTCTTGTAGCACATAAGGAAGTATGGTTCAGCGTTTTTAAATTCAGGAGGTGGTACCCTAACAATTGGTATTGCTGATGATGGTATGTCTGAATAATAATGATTTTATTTATTATTATTTTTTTATTTTTTTTATTTTTTTTATTTTTTTTATTTTTAGGCACAGTTGTTGGCGTGAATGTTAGCTCGCAGGCTAGAATTAAAAAAGTTATATGTGATGAATTTAAAGCCTTCAAACCATCAGTTGGCAGTAGCTATTACGAGTATGTTGTTGTACTTTATATTATGCTATCATGAGTTTGATCATGTGTGTATACTTGATAGGGTTGACTTTGTTCCCACAGACGAACGGGACAAGTTTATAATTGAAATTCATGTAAGAGCAGGAGAAGATGATGAGATATATGCTGATGGTGAAGATAAGGTTTGTTAATAATAATTAGTTATAATTATTAGTTGTATTTTCAAGGTCATAATGACAATGTAATATGTTTGAATTTTGCTTTAAAAATAACATGTACTTATAAATCCATTTGCTTATTATTATATAGGCGGTAGCCTATATGTAGGATTGAGGTTGGTTTTTCAAGATGGCGACCGTTTTTATGATTTTCAAACACTTATAACTCTTTTATCTTACGTTGTACAGCCTTATAAATGGCTTAGATCAGCTCTCCTTCACTGAGCGATTCTCCCGGTACCTTTAAAGTGGACTGTAATGTAGCGAGAGCTTTTTTGAAGAATAGGCCAAAATTCAAATTTCTGCAAAATTCTTCAGACTTTTTCTTCTTCTTTCATCTTCTTCTATAGGCCCTCTAATCTTTTAAGCCAGAGAACCGCTCCAGTTGGCTTTTACATCATTCCTTTGTGCTAGGGTCAAGGA